AGAGGTCTATGGCTAGTTTATGCACATCATACATATATCTACTCAAAATTATATAAAACAAAACTTGTTTTTCCAGGACAACTTTAATGACAAAAAATGCATGTAAACTTTTGTCACTAAAAAATAACAATTATATTGTAGTAATAGAAATATAGGGATATATACACTAAAGTCCCAATATTTTCAACGATTTAGAAGAAAGTCTTAAACATTATTTTTTTTTACAGTAAAGTCCTAACTACCGTCAGTTTTTGACATGTTTATCTTTTTTCCGGTTAGCCGGTAATTAGGACTTTACTGTCAAAAAAATAAAATTATGACTTTTTTGCAAATCGTGAATTAGGACTTTACTATCAAATAAATAAAGCTTAGGACTTCCTTGTCAAATCGTTGAAAGTATTGGGACTTTAATGTATATATCCCTCTTTTTGGTTATAAATTTAATGGTATGATAGTCTTTAAGCATAAAAGTTATTGAAACATGCTCTGGTCAACTAGATCCTATTGAAATCCTTAACGTTTGCTTCTTGTTAAATAATTTGTTTAATCTCAACAAACCGACATTGAAAAAAATTGAGATAATCATGAAATAAAGAAAAAATTAGGGTTGTGTTGGCTTTTTGCAGTCTTAAAAATGGAGAACTAAGAAACCGAAAAAAACAAAATTGCCTTTTTTATCCCTTCTCCACATTCACACCCTTTTGGCTAGGCGTGTGTTGTTTGTGTTTGTACAATATGTCCTCACTTTTCAGTTATTGGGCTGCGAAAATACACTAAAGTCCCAATATTTTCAACGATTTGACAAAAAACTCCTAAGCTTTATTTTTTTTATAGTAAAGTCCTAATTCACGATTTGAAAAAAAATTCATAAACTTTATTTTTTTACAGTAAAGTCCTAATTACCGGCTAACCAGAAAAAAAAAGGGTAAACATGTCAAAAAGTGTCGGTAATTAGGACTTTACTGTAAAAAAAATAATGTTTACGACTTTCTTGTCAAATCGATGAAAATATTGGGACTTTAGTGTATATATCCCTAGAAATATATATGGATTTTCTTACAAAAACAAATCATCCATATTTTCCAAAAACAAATATTACACCAAATAATATAATAATCTAACCAAACTTGCAAAAATAACTCTAATACCAATTGTTCGGTTTTATTCAAAATCGTTTTCTCAAAAACACTAAAAACAACAACGAAAGCATTAAAATTGTGAATAAACTTAAAACACTTTTTAAAACACTAAGTTTCATTTTTGCAAAACATGGAAAGATTAAATAAACCATAGAAGGAAAAGTGTTACAAATTTTGAAGACTTTGATTCTCATGCAAAATGTAAGTTGATGAATTCATGTATGATGCTCCAAAGGAGAAACTATCTACAAGTATCCACCAAACAACATTAAACTACTAGAATATGCTAATCTTTACTTGTCATAAGTTGTTCTTAAGCCTTAAGTCATATACCAAATAAGTCTTGAGGCGAAGCAACTTATAACCGCTTAGTTCATGCACCAAATTGCAAGAAGGAAGAGAGGGAAATAGGGCACCAAAACAACGAATTTGGCAACCCTTTAATGAGAGAAAAGAGTGTGAAAAACTAGCTAGTTTTTTTTGTTCATGTCTTCCTTGTATACTTCCACTAATGAACTAATTCAAAAGGTAGTCATTAAATGAAAGTATGGCATCTTATGACAATAATGGTGTGATGGAATAAGAATGATAACACACGAATTTAACCTCTAGTGGAGGTAGGAGGTTTTGACATGAAAGCAAGACAAAGAGTGTGTTGCACCCTTTCTTACAAACTAGCTAGTTACAAGTCCAACTAGATGGTTACTCAAAGTGTCCATTTAATTATACATGACATATATACTCATGCCATAGTAATAAAACTAGTTTTATTACTTTCTATGAAAAATACCAATTAGCAAAGAGCACAAGCCAAACGATGTCGAGTGGTTTTCTAGGTAACCAAATTTGAAACATTATCCTAACATGTGGCAGTTGGGGTGATGTTGGTGAAAGATCTATATACCCAAGAATCATTATAGAATGATATTTTTTAATGACATTTGATCCTATAAGGCCACACATTATAGCAAGTTACTACTAATTAATTATTAATTAAAGTAATTTGATTATATTTTCATGCCATATAAATATAACTAGTTTTCTTGTTCTCTTTTATTATTATTTCCTAGAAACAATAATTCTCAATTAATTGTTAAAAATATAATTTTCATAAAATAATAATTCTCCAATTAAAACACAAGCATTAATAATACTTATTAATAATCAAATTACTTTAATAAAAAGTCAATTAGTAGTAACTTGTTTTAGGTGTGGCCCTATATGATCATATGTCATTAGCAAATATCATTCTATAATGACTATTGTGTATAAAGATCTTTCACCAACATCACCCCAACCCCCATACGTTAGGACCATGTTTCGAAATGGTTAGCTAGAAAATCACTCGACACCATTGGGACCAAGTGCCAAATAAGGTGCGAACCTTGGTTTAGGTTACTACCCCTTTACCTCCACTACATGTATTCCACATTATTAATTAATTCATTATTAACTCACACATTACATTTATATATTTTCTCCTCTTCTATCCATTATTATGTAACTATGCATGCTAATCAATTCATTATATCATGACATATTACATTCCAAATCGTACCATCAAAACATGTAAAATAGTACACATTTCAAGAAATTTACTTTACTAGCATGGATTTCATAATTCATATAAGTATATATTTTCCAGGATCACAACATACATAAATATCATACTATATCATCAAAATACATCACTCACTTCTAGCATGATCTTAACATCATCATTTCATCCATCTCATCTCATCACGTTAACTAGCAGGAAAATTCACCCTAGGTAATTTATTCAAAACAAATTAACATGAATTCATAGTACATATAACTCATACAAACATTTCATGACATGGCATACCAATTCCTAGACCAATCGAGTGGTATCAAAACACACAAATCTCCAACATATGTATCCATTAGCCACAAAGAATGACTCGCCTCAAATCCAAGTTATTTGAGGAAATGATCTAAAGAAGGTACTCTCCATGAGACCACTAAGCATGCTAAAATAAAGCATGAAAGCTTTTTCAGTTCCAGACGAAAACCCCACCGTGAACGCAGTAGAAACACACTGTGTTTTGTCCCTAGGTCATAAATCGAAAATCTCAACCTCTAGTCACCATGCTAGTGTGTTGCGTCATGACTACGCTTTCAGTTATAAAAATAATATATGATCACCAATCCTCTCCGGTCCGATTTTGGTCTGTTCAACACCCGTTTAGGATGATTATAACCCTCGGAGAACATGGCTACGTATTCGAGGATGCTAAAACACTTAAGGACCAATCTAACACACTTTACCATGAATTTTTGCAACATTAATGGATTATTCAAGAGTGTGGCATGCAAGGAAAGAAAGAACACACAAAGAAGAAGCAGTAACCTTTAACAAATTCGAGATGTTGAAAGAGATGAAGCAAAGAGTAAAGCAATCCAAGAAACAACACAAGAACTCTACCACAAAGGCAACAAATCATAACTTCAACTCCAAATACTCTAAAGATAGCATACACTCAAGAATCTCTCTCACTCTAGGGTTTGTTGGCTACAAATGAGATAGGTTTATTAGATTTTAGGGTTATATATGCTTAAATAGCCCCCATAAACTTCAAACTAGACCCTAAAATTATGAGAAAATGACCCCTAAGTCCATACACATGACCAAGAAAAAGTTTCTTACACTTTTGATCCCCAAAACTTGACTTTAACAAGATAAGAGGTTAATTTAACGAAAGAGTGTCAAGAAAACTAACCTCGATGATGGAATGGGGAATTCGGGTAGTTACAAACCTAAACGTTGATCTATTGAAGCATAATTTGAAATCCCGAAAATGTCTGAATCATAAGACAAAAACATAAAAGAGATAATTAAGTGAACCCTAGAAGATACAAGACTTGAAAGCAAGCTTTAGTGAGTAAAGGGGTTTGAATAAAGATTTTCCTCACTTGGTCCTCGTTTTGTTCAATCAATATCTCTATAAGAGAACATAGATACATTGATTACATTGCTTTGAGTCCCAAAATACGGTTTTCAAGTTTATTTTCATCTTTTCCCCTCAATCAAGGAAATAATTTAATCTATCAGCCTACATCTTATCCCCAATTTGATTAAAAATGTGCAAATAAGAATCCCATTTAGTCTAAATTCCACACATTCACTTAATACCAATAACATTTATGGAACTTCTTGTAAATTTAGGGAAACAAAGGAGGAATCATCAATTTAAAAAGAAAGAAAAAAGATCATAAAAAAGGGGTTTCTGGGTTTGTGTTTTTACCTTCATCTGGGACATGCTATTATACACCTGATTCTTTGACATTCTAACGATATTCTTCGATTAACCATCACTAGAAACCCAATGTCGGCCATTATCCGGAAATTTTATGGTTTTTTTTTCGGGTGACTTTGATTAGGTTACAACTTAGGGCTCTTTCGTTAGAATTGTGAGAAGATGGAGTGGGTAGAGACTCGACAGTACAGACATGGGAAGGAGTTTACATCGAAAGAATTATGGGAGGGGGAGCATACCGTTAACACCCTATTGACCACTTTATAAAAAGTCAACCTATAATTAACTACTTATAATCAGTTTTTTCGGAAAACAATGAAATTTCAACCAATAAAAATATTTCAAAAAGTCAACCTATAATTAGCCAACCCCTTGTTAAAATTAGATTTTGGATGACATAAATAGTGAAATGCTAATATATATAAAGGTGAGGCAAGTTACATGACGTCAATTCTGTATTTATTTCTATTTCCCCCCCTATAAAAACAGGTTGATCGAAACCACTCTGTCCTCTTTCTACTCGTCCTCACACAATCAACTCTCCTCATTTCCACCTTCAACCTAATCACACTAAAACAAAATAATGGCCGCCGTTTCTTCACTAGCTCCGTCGTCACCAGTAGCTCCTCAACCATCACCATGGCACTCACCGGTACCCTATCTCTTCGGCGGCCTTGCTGCCATGATGGGTCTCATTGCTTTTGCTCTCTTGGTTCTCGCATGCTCTTACTGTAAGCTCTCCGACTACCTTGAAAACGGCGACAGAGACATTGAATCCGGAGATGGAAACACGGATGTCACTACTCCTCCTGAAAATAACACCAACCAAGAGGCGTCTGATATGCAAGAGAAGTATTTCGTAATCATGGCCGGAGAAGCTAAACCTACGTTCTTGGCCACACCCAGTTCTAGCAGAACCACCTCGTTTGGTAGTAGCAGTTGGCGGAGCAATTCAACGGCGTTAACGGAGGCATCATCATCTTCGGTAGTGGAGATGTCGGAGGAGGTGAAACATACCACCAGCGTGGAGAACAACTAGTCTTCTGCCGATCAGCTCTGTTAATATTGTTGAATATAAAACTTTGTGGTAGTGATTGTGGGTTGAATGGTAGGTCCAGTAGTTTGTTCATCGTTTTGTTCCAGAAATGCACATACAAATTTGTGACACCTTTCAAGATCCTCAAACCTTCGCATATGACTCCTAATCCTAAATTAGTGATTTTTTTATTATTCTGCTATAATTGTCGTATGTGATCTTTTGTTTACCAACTCCATGATGTTCAAGTCGATTCAAATTTTCTACATAAAAGATAATCTTTTGACAATGTATCAGTAATGGTGTTTTAAAAGGTTAGTTGTTGGATTAAGTGTTTAAATTTTTTTAAATTATCAACATCTACTTGAATTGGAAAGGTTTACTTGCACTCAACTTTATCAAATCATTGAGGGGCTATAATTTTTACTTTATCTCGTAGGCTTTTTTGAAGGTTTTATCACAATATTAATTTTTTTACCAAAAAAAGTAGTAATAATAATAACAATCATTTTAGGACATAAGTACAACTTTATTTCGGGTATGTTTGGGGTCCAAAGGAGGATGATTTCATGTGAGTTGGGTCAAGTAATCAATGTCACTTATCCATATCATACGTTACTGTTTTTTGTGAACTTAAGTAATGAAAGTATTCACGAAATAAAACCTTTGTATAAATCTGTCATGCTATGGGTGTGTGTTGTGTACAAATATAAATCATGGCCCATGATATCTGCACGAAATTGTGTGTGTGTGTGTGCGTCTGTGGTTTTTTTTTTTTTTTTTTTTTTTTTTGAGTTTTGAGGGTTAAGTCTTACGTGATTTAGATATATGTAGAAATATCTGATCTCATCTGCATCTTGTATACTTAATTATACATGTCAAATACTCGATCACTAAATCTAATTTATATATTTATTCAAGTAATTCAAGTAACTTTTAAAAAAGAAATATGCAGATTAGTTTATTATCTTAGATGTCATTTCCTATATTAGCTGTTTTTTTGTTTTTACAACTTTTTAACCAATTTAAATAATCATAAAAGAAATTGGATTTTAAAACGTAAGAAATATTGATAAGTTAATTATTATTGGATTTGAAGACAATGTTCTGCGTTATCTGTTGTCTATTATATATTTTGGTATTCCTAGTCATTACCTTCTTTACCAATGTCCTTTTCCTTCTTTATAGTTTTGGAGTTACGTTTTCAATCAACTGAATTTGAACAAGTTGAAACGATGATGGTTTTCGCTTTGATTTGTGGGTCGTACTACTATATAAATCCAAACAATTGAAAAGAGAAAAGACTATCCTAGCATGTCCTTTCCAACTTAGGTAATGTGATACTTGCGGAAAACTACAAATACATGAACTTTATCAACAATTATTAGTTCAAATTATATTGAGTATAATGTATAAGATAGGTGTGTAAATGCATATGAGTGTGAGCGATTTTTTTCATTTCATGGGATAGTCGCTCTTTAAAAGTATCATTTGGCTGATCGAATGCGAAAAACACACAATGCATTGGTTAATTGAATGCAACAAAATTAAACGAATATTCTGTGTTTGTTGGATGTATATGTTCATTTGTTGGTCGATTTTTTTTCACTACAAGAAATCACCGAAATAGCAGTGATGTGTTTAGCGGCAGCACCATCTATAGTGGAGACATTTGATAATGTCACCGCTATTGATTATGTCACCGTTAAAGACGTCACCGCTATTGATGGTAAACCGCAATCCATGTGCTTTGTTCTTGCGATATCCATGACCGTTGATTGTGTGATGTAACCAATGACGGCAGTTAACTCGTACATAGGAATTAGCGGCGATGGCATTAGCGATGCCCTTTGCCGCCGCTAAAAACCCAAAAAAAAGCAGCAACATCTTCCCTCCATTAATTTCGCTTGTTGCCGCTAATGATAATACTGTCGCCGCTAATACCTTACCCTTTTAATCATCGTCTTCCCAAAATTGATCTATTCTTCCTCTAGCTAATCGACTTTAAAAAAAAAAAAGAATCATTGATTGTGCCGCAAGAGCGACAAAAGACACCACCAGAGTAGTCACCATCATCATTGATGCTCACTACTGATACCAATTACCACTTTTCTCCAAAAATCACTTACGACACTCCAGCAGCTCTTTTGTTGTCGTCGGCTGATCCCAACCATTGACAATTAAAGATCGAGGAACGCCACCACCAGACCCCTTGCCACCTCTACTGTCGGGTACCACCTAGTACCACCGCCTGGTACCACCTCCTTCATGTTCTAATTTTCCTTAAAAGCTACTGATTTGCCTTTTGATGCTTAATTGTTAAGTGCTTAATCAAGAGATTACTGTAATCTCATGTTAATATGTTTTAAAAGTGCATAATATGTTTGGAAAATGCATAATGACGAGTTGCTACTTACTTGATGTATTAATATGCTTGGAAAGTACTAAATGATTTGTTAAGGACATAATTGATAAGTATTTAGTTGTTAATGACTTAATTAGGTTAGTCTAAAAGTGTTTTTTATTGTGACTTAATTCTGCTGACTTAATTTGACTTAATTTGATTGTAATATGCTTTGAAAGTGCTTATTAATATGTTTGGAAATGCTTAATGAAAAGTTGTTATTGATTTGATGTCTTAATAAGCTTGGAACATGCTAAATTATTTATTAAGGACTTTATTCATAAGTATTTAATTGTTAGATACTTAATTGTTAAGGACTTAATTGATAAGTACTTAATTGTTAAGTACTTAATTGTTAAGGACTTAACTTTTAAGGCCTTGATAATGTTATAATGTGTTTATGCTATTATATATGTTTGAAAGTGATTAGTATGTTTGTAAAATGCATAATGAAGACATGCTATTGAGTTTAATGTATTAATAAGCATCAAAAGTGCTAAATGATTTCTTAAGGACTTAACTGATAAGTACTTAACTGTTGAATACTTAATTGTTAAGCCCTTAATGATGTTATTATATGTGTGATGCTACTAGATATGATATGTATTGAATATAATTAATTAGATTGTTGGATGCAATAAATTAAAAATAAAATTAAAAAAAAATCTTTAAAGTATAATGGTACAATAGGAAAGAAATGGATAATATAAAAGATAAAAGATGAAGTACAATGCTATAAAAGAGAAAAAAAATCAAAAGTAGTAAATTATATTAAATGAATGTCCGACGCGTAGTAGTCTAACATGTTGAATCATTGAGTTTTTGTTTACGTATCCTCATTTTAATCATCATGACCTTAAATATATGCGGCCGAAATTTATTTATAAATTTATTTTGGGTTGTCCTCGTTTTGTGACTGCTCTTTGAATAATGTATACGAGTGAGAAACTTGTGGTAATGTGTCTTTGTATTAGAAACTTTATTTAGATTCCTAGTTCAAATAGAAATTCTTTATTTATATCGTGTTTCTATAATTTATATATGATAATTTTTCAGACTATGTAATTAGTTGGATTGTGTTGTTATACATCATAACTGATGTAATGATGAGTCGGGGACATGGAGGTGATGAATACGAGGATCCACCACCTCCATTAAGTAGAGTTCGTGGCTAGCACATGGAGAATGATTAGTTTTATTATGATTTACTTAATTACTATATGTATTCATTTATTATAAATTATTGTGTGACTAATATTTTTTTTACATTTTTCAGTTGTTGCAACAAAAAAAAATTAGGCCAAAAGCCGCACACTCTCAAAGAAATTATTGAAAAACAAGGAGAATCATGTGAGTATGGAGTTTGAATAGAGATCTTGCATTTACACTGGTTGGATCACCTAAGGATGTGTTTGTTCATGATATGGGGAGTTATATGTTTGAGAATGACCCTTTTGATTGAAGTGGTTGGAAAAATGTTTCCCGTGTTGTAAAGAATGACACAATCGACCACCTGAAGGCAAATTATTTATATAATATTATCTTATATGTATATTTGTTATTGATTTTTTACTTAACTAACTTTTTTTGTTTTTGTAGAGAGTTTAATTTGAATCAGGTTTCTCAGGATCATGGGAGTGCTCAGCTGTTGGAGGTGTAACATCCCAAAGTCCATCATAATTTTTTTGATTTTTAAATAAAGTAAAGTGCCCTTTTCATAAAACAGTGTCATGATAACATTGGTTTCAAAAGACAGTCATCCAAAAATTACAGTATGATAACAATACAGAATCACAAAATACTAATGTTGTTGATGAATGTGTACAGTCACGCCTTCGCGTACCCACGATCATCTAAAGTACCTGAAACATTTAATCTACAACTATAAGCCAAATCTTGGTGAGTTCCCCAAACTACCATATACAACAATACACATACAAGCATACAAACAAGGCTCTCGGTGTTAGAACCGATCCGCCTGAACAAAATCGAGTGTCTTGGCTAACAACACTCTAGTTTCCCTACCATCAACTTGTCCCCTGTGAGTGTCTACTATCACAACACTTAACGTTGATCTTGTCATCAAATCCCCATTTGGCCTTCAGCATAAATCTAGTCTGCCCGCATCTTGGCGTTATATACAAAGCAAGAACACCTTATCCCACCATAATGAATGTCAGCATATATATAAAATAGATAAACAAACAGCTCAACATGACAGGTAAAAGTCTACGAGTCTACCTTCTTAACATTATACCACAGTTTAATCTCATCCTAGCACACTACGAAGCATATTGCAATATATAATATAGTGAAAAAAAATCACCTAAAATACAAGTTGAAAAATCAACACTCAGCGACTCACCAAACTGCTATACAAACCTCCTAACTGTCAAAGGTAAAACTTCAATCTACCACTCAAAAGCCTTATTTTTAGTTAAATTCAAATTGGTCAAAAAGTGAACAACCAACTTTCAATGACCACCGGACCAGCTCTCAGGTCGCGTCGCAACCACTAAAGTCCAAAAACAGTCGCGAGGACTTAAACTCTACCGTGTCGTGGTCTACACACCACCGCACCGCGGTTAAACTCCAAAAC